ATAATTCAGATTTGTCTTTATCTTCATATTCCAGATATTTGTATGATATAATTCAGTTAAACTTCTCTTTTAAATATTTTTTTCCTGAATTAGAAGAGATACATGTATTCCTTCTCTTATTTCAATTTTACTTGGCTCCAGAGTTACTCTTTTGAAAGGATTATTTCTAGTACCTTGTGAATTTTACTTCTTCCCTAGATGCTCATCAGAACTTTTATTTGTTCTCCCTAGTTTCATAGTCATTGACATTTTAAATTTTATAAATAAAAAGTCATTAATGGTAAGTACTGAAGTATAGTTTTCTAATTATTCAAAGAGAAGAGATTTATCAAAGTAATTTTTCAAATATATAGAATCGAAATTAATTAGGTATTTCTTAAAGAAATGGTCAAAGTGATTATACAGTCAAGTTGAAATTACATTCCCTATCTTGTGAAGTATTTGCATTAAAAAGGTCCCAGTTGTAGGGAGGATTAAATTATAGCCCAAAGTTTTAAAATTTCAAAATTCAGAATTCAAAGATATAATATGTAAATCTCACTCAAGATACTAAGAAGAGATTTAGAAAAAAATGTTTATGAAAATCAAATTAAATTTTCTGAGCTATAATACTCAAGTAGCTTTCCTTAAATGTCAGAAACTATAAATGGAAATATTAATAAGCATCCACAGTAAAAAAATGAAATTATAATTGATTATTTCATATCTGGAACATCATTTGCTTCAAGTATTAGTTTTATACATGGATAAAATAATTAAACTGATTAACTTTAAATCATATGACTTTAAGCACCTCTGAAAATACATCCAGAGGAGAGAAGAAGGCACCTATGAGGCGACAGCAAGGGTGAATGTCTGTGGTCAGCAGTGGAGAAAAGCAGGTACCCTGTTGTCAGGAGCAAAGTATAAAGTCTGATAAGGGAAGACAAATGAAAATAACATCCACCTGGAACAAAATGCAGTATTAAGGGGACATGTACCACACTCCACTCCCAGTGCAGTGCCATCCGGGAGAGGCTTGGACAGGGGGAGGGAGTGGGCCCTCCAATTAAGGGCTAGCCAACCGCAGGGCTTTCCAATCACTCTAACCTCCCTCTGAGCACAGTAAGTGAGATGCATGCAAGCAAGGGAAAGCAGGAGAATGGGACAGGATAGTGTCATACACCAGTGTCTTATACACTAGTGTCCTGTGAACAATAGAGTCACAGGGCCTATGAACTGTGCAGCTTTGGAGAAAGAGAAATATTGCTCAATACAGACAAAAATAGTTGTCTGCTCCCCTTACATACGAAAAGAGTGCTATGCAAATAGGATCTTCAATATGCTATCAAAATTTGATATTCTTCCAATATGCTTTCAACAGGGGCAGGATAAGCACTTCCTAGCATGTGCTTTCAGAAGGCAGGAAATCTGGGTCTGTGACATGGATATAGAAGAGAGAGCAAGGGATTTCAGTGAGATTAGAGACAGAAATAGCACCCAAGTCAAAAGGGGATTGAGCAGAGGCATCCATTTCCTCTTATTTCTCCAGAGAATGGAAAGTCCCAAGCTGGTGTGAAGCCCTGCCACTGCCCTGTGCAAGCTAGGTGGACCTTCTGCTATGCCTGAGGATAGCACTAGGTTTTAAAGGCAGGGCTGAGACAGAGGTCTGTGGGCAGAGAGATAGTGGCTGACACCTGGGCCGGAGGTCTTCAGACTGTATACAGCACTATGAAGGAAGGCCGATGCGAAGGAGCCAAAGAGACAGCTGCAGCATCTGCCAGGCAGTGAAGGAAGCAACAAAGTGTGAGAATTCTGGAAGAAGTTGATGGGGAACACATGAGCAAAATACACCACACTTGCATCACCCAAAATTAAATGAGGAAACATGAAAAACATGAAAAACAAACCAAAGAATGCTTCTCACTTCCTTCATGTCTCTCAAAGCAGATCCAGGAGGCATCAATGGAGAAGAGATCAAACACCAAATAGCTGGGTTACTTGACATTATTAGAGAGAAAGCAGAGAAACTCAGAGGTCAAAGATGATGTAACTCCAACATTTGTGAAACTAGCCATCAGACCAACCTGGCTACGAAAGAATCAAGTAAAATATTTAAAGAGATGACCCAAACTATTCAAATCATGAATAACAAATTTCCCAAATAAATAAACTCCATGAAAACATACCAAACAGAAATGCCAGAAATAAAGAATTCTAATGAATACATGAACAACAGAAATGAATAATGTGAACAAAAGATTTCAGAAATTGGGAAAAAATAGAATCACCTGATGAATACTCAGAGAAATCTTAGAAATAATAAAGCAAGAAGAAACATTTATTCAACAGCTGTTAGGTGGCTAAGAAGACTAAGCTAAGGCCAATTCAAGTTAATCAATCAAACAATGGAGCCCCAAAAGTGATATGGTCTGAATACATCCAGAAAAGTGAATAGTTACACAAACTGAAGAAAATAAAGAAGTCAGTAACAGAGAAAAATCCTAACGATAGGAATAGATCAATTTTCAGTGATAACTCTCAGAGCAAATAGCCTCAACTTCCCAATTAAAAGACACAGATGGGCAGGTTAGTAATAAATAGTAAATGGTTTATTGCATATAAGAGTCAACTTCCCCAATTCCAAGACAAAAATGTTGTAAAATAGTAGTCCACACACCAGAACCCTGAAAGGAAGCAAAGGTAGCAATTTTCTTGTGAACTTCAAGCTAAAAGTGATCAAAGAGGCAAAAAATTGCTACTGGGCTTTTATTTAGAAAGTTCTTGCCTGCACCCATGCCTTCATGATTTTTACTTATTTTATCTCAGATTATTTCTGTAGAAAAATTGGCTATCATCAACAAATCAAATAACAACAGATGCTACAGAGGCTGTAGGGAAGGAAGAACACTTTTATCACTGGCAGGAATATAAACTGGTATGTCCACTGTGGAAGTCATTATGAAGGGTTCTCTAAAACCCTCCATAGTCAATGGTTTATTGCATTCTACTTCTAAAACTAGAAGTAGCAATTTCTCCTCATGCATCTACTCTCCTCCTAGATATTTTCTCGTAAGTGTTCAACACATCATTACAGTCAATTGTGCATGCTCGTGTTTAAAATAGCACAACATACCTAAATCTTGGACACAGCCTATATGTCCATCAGTAGATGCATGGATAAGCAAAATGTAGTTTTTGTATACAATAGACCCTTACAATACCACAAGGAAGGAAAAACTTAAGTCATTGATAGAAAACTAGATGTATCTTGAGACTATAATGTTAAGTGAAATAAATCAGCTGCATTATCTCTAACATGACATGGTTCCTCTTAAATGAAAAGCCCAAACTTTTTTTTTAAGAAAAAGAGTAAAATGAAAGACAGATATAAGGAAACAGAGAAATAGGTGTTCTGTACATGGGAAGAGGACCAAGAAATGGTAGGAAGGGAAGAATTGGGAAGATTGGTGGGAAAGGATGTGAAAGGTTAAGATGTGCAGTTGGGGAGACAGCTCAGTGGCTTAAGAGCCAGGTGCTGAGTTTGGTCCCCACTACCAAAATAAACAAAAAAATTCTTTCTCTCTGTTTATCTCTCCACCACTCCCGACAATGACTGTAATCAGCATGTCAGCATACACTGCAAACGTGCACAATAAAATTAAGACGTAATTCTTGTAGTTGGTTCTTTTATTCTTTACTCCTATAGGACATAAATACTAAGCCATAGCTGTCCCCTGATATACTCATTGCCTTCCAATAAACACTGAAACAGAAGACAGACCATGTTAATGCCAAAGGGAAAGACGACGTGAAAGAATCAGTATTCACAAGCACTGTATTTGGCTTTAAAATTTTTTTATATCATTAATGTGTTAATGCCCAGAGCATTAATAAAACCATCTTAAAATGGGCCATTGTTTTTAGTATGTTTCACACACCAATCTATAATGAAACTTAACTTAAAATTGTACCATTTTCTAAATTTCTAATATATGATGTCAATGTTATACAACTCATCCTAAGAAAGACACAGCAAATATCATGGCTTAGGATTACTCCTGATATATTTTATAGTTTTTGGTTCACAGAATTAATATAGATTTCTTTCCATAAAGAAAATGTTTTGATTTCTTTAATGTATTATCTTAATTATTCATCTAAAAGTATGGTTTTTATTTTATTTATAACATTAATCTCCCACCTGTATCTCTCTTAAAGTTCTCAAAATTTAAGAAAGCACTACACAAGCAAAGGGAAGATAAACATTTTATTCTACAGTTAGCAAAAATTATCATTAAAGATGTAGGTAAAACTGTATTTTAATCTTCTATGTTATCACTTGGAATTATTGTGGTTCTTAACAGCAATTGTTCTATATATAATCCATGATCAGTAAGGATAAAATAAGACAAAATATTTTATCTGATTTATAATATTTATTTCACTGCAGAAACATGTTAAACACAAATAATAATACTGTGGAATATAGAACATAATTGCAACAAGAACATGTATACGTATTTAAAATTAATTATGAAATCTAAAATCATGGAATAACTTAAGTTGTGATAACCACAAACATATCATTAGAAATGTTTCAAGTTCATTTTTACAAAACTCATTTTCTCTCTATGTTCAGTTACTTTTTCTCTTAAAATCCTGTTTACTTACCTTGGATCATGATTCTAAGGAATGTGTCCTGAAGGGCTTAAAAGACAGTACTAGCAAACCTATAATATATATGAATATATATACATTCATGTATATATGTACACAATTATCTATGTTATTATTTCATTCTTTATGAATATAATGAATATATAATTCTTTGATGACGTGACATATACTTAGTATGATGAATATACTGTAATATATGTTAATATAATATTAAGAACCAAAATTTTTATAGGAAAAATATCCCCCAAATTTAAGGAAATACAAAGTTTTTCCTTAAAATTTTCACAATAAATATAGATGCTGTTAGCTTGGTTACAAAATTTAAACTGAAAGAATCCTACCTGATGAATCAAAGTTCACCTCATTGCCAGGGCTAGGGCCTACATCAATGGACACAACAGGTAAAAGCTTCCGAAAGTCCCACAGCTTTATAACTCCACAGGCATCACAGGAAGCTATCATGTGACCCTTCAAAATATAAAATAAACAAAAATGTGCATATATACACTGAATCTAAAAATATTCAGAGTAAACCACAGGGAAAGGGTAATGCTTACATGACAATTTTATTAACTCGGCAAAACTATATTCCTCTAAACTGAACTGTATTCACTATATCTTTATCTTGCATATAGTTATATTGAATGATATTCTTAGTACATGAAATTCTATACTAATTTTATAAAAGTAATTGTTCAAGGAAGCATTTTGTGTAATTATGTGAAAAGATACAAGAAAACAAAAACATAGGCACTCATGTAGTTTGTCTATATGAATACCTAACTTGTATCCTATAAATGATGTATGTAGCATAATTCAATCTTCCTAAAAAAAATTGCCTCATCAGGGCATCATACCTCATGTGCCTGCAATTAGTGCTGCTATTTTATACATCAAATAAAGAGAAGAGCAGGAAGATAAAGGGACAGAAAATAAGAGAAGAGCTTCCCCTCAGAGGATAGAATGCCTAAGGCATGTCCATTGACTGCAGTGAAATCATTCCTGTTGGGGTCCATTAGACAAAGTTCTCAATAGAAGTATCCGAGCCACTTTTGATAGTAAGTAATGAGCAAGAAAGAAACTGGATGAAGAGAAACAGAAGGAAGAGTGAATGAACAACAAGAAGGGAGGATATTTTCTCAAACAGTGATGAACAGTGGGTTCATTTACCTAGAGCTCACAGGCTGTCCAACTCCTGCTGGTTTCTCTAGAAATGGGCTTTGAGCACCCACTCCACACAGGGGACCAGGGACATTCTGATGAGTAAGAGAGGTTTCTATCCTATGGCAACTACCATTCTGCATTCTTTCTTATCATTTCACTACTTAATTGCTTTGTCCATTCACAAATAAATTGAGTGTCGTTCTTATCAAGACTGTCCTTTGTGTTTATGGTAAGTCAGGATAGCATTTTCAATTTGCTATGCAGTTTTTCCCTTTCAGCTCCAGCTTAGTTTTTTAAATTTAATGTCAAAAACGGTCCTGTATCTTCTGAGCTTTTAAGATGTTAAATGTATTAGCTGTTATTACAATTTTGTTATTTTGAACTACCTCCTTTCATCATTTACATCCTAATTTCTATACTTTCCATAAAAAATATACAATATGTATTTCAGTTCAAATGGACTTTTAGCTTTCCCTAATCATATCAATAATGTAATGAATTTCATTAGTTTCAAAATTCTATAACTGTTGCCATTGGCAAAATAATACAACAGTATTGCCCCCAATCAAATAAATGAGATGCTTAATCATTTTTATGACTTAAAAGAGAACATGGAGAACTTGGAATGATCTCAAATAGGTAAACATGTATTGTAAGCATTGTGAGAAATCAGTAAGTTTCATTTCGGATATTGAAAGAATCGTTTTCAGCATTAGCACGGAATATTAATGTTATAAATTACCAAAAAATCTCTTTCCAAATATAAGGGCTTTCAATCATCTTTCAGAGGTCACAGAACAGAGCTTTTGTTCAACTTTGAGAACACAGTAGATGAGTTTTAATCAGAATTTAATTCCAATGTTCTTTTCACCAAAGGCATAGTTATTGACTTGCTGTCCTTTTCTAGTTTGGAGGCAATTGTAAAATATGCTTTATTCCACTGAACACTAAAATTTGAGGAAAAGCACTGCAAATGAAACATTTTATTATTTTTATTAGATGAAAGTACTTTAAAATTTTAACATTTAATTATAAGACATTGCTAGATAACCAATATTTGATAGCTTAATAATATTAAAAGAATCCAATAATTATTAAATGTTTTTAATGTGCCTTATACTAAAGGCTTTGTTCGGTCCTGTACTAAATACTTTGTCAGAAGATGAGCATATGCTAATTTAAAAAAGAACTACATTTAGTCCAACTTTTCCATTGTCTTAGGAACTTAGGAGCTATGACAAAGTATACATCATGGTAGTATGAATGAAAGAGCTTATTAAGTGATTATAAATAAGTTTGTGTTTAGATTTAATACCCGAAAGACATTCTGTAATAAAATAACTGCTTAGCAATCTAAGCAGGTGGAGCAGATGTATTGATGATTGCAGGTTGGGGAGTATACCAGCGCTCAACAAAATATTTGCTAAATTGATAGATAATGTCTTCATGCAACTCATGCGAAAGTTTCATTCAGCGATAGCTTCCATAGCAGTCTTGAAGTTATTGTAATTCTAATCCTCATGCTTCTGAATTACTTAGAAAGCATAGAAAAGCTAGACCTCCTAAGTTAAAATATCCTCAAGACCCTCTATCCCTCCACCCATCCAGGAAAAATATGAGGACCATCTGCCAGTCTCTCACTCTCGGGCAAAACAAGAAACTAGGCTGGTGCTAATCCAAATGCAGAGTGTATATATTGAGAAACCTAAAACTGAGGAGATGTGCTAAAGTGATCTGTTTTTTATAGAAGGGGGAAAAACCATATATATATATATATATATATATATATTTATATATATATATATTTAATTTTAGAGAAGGGTCTACAGGGTGTTCAGGGTCTCACTACTAGATCAGATGCATAGTGATCTGCCTGTTTATAGTCTCCCAAGAACTGGATTACAGGCGCGCACCACCACGCCCAATCTCAATTGCCATCTCAGTGCGCCGTGGAGCCTGGGCCTGCACAGCAGCCCGGCCCCTGCACCTGCTTGCAGACGCTTTAATCCCTTGAAGCTATTTGGCTGGCCCTAAGAAGGAAAAAATAATTTTATTTAGAAGTTATGACAATCAATACAACAAAAGGTTCCATGACAATTAGGCACTTTAAGATTTCAAGGACAATGTTTTTAAGAGATATGTGGATCAGTGTGACAGTAGTATAAAGAGTGAAGACTCAAGACTTTTGGGGGATTCTCTAAAATATAATTATGTTTATTCTGGTAATTGTCAGCACTGATTCTAGAGGTAGTTGATGGACAGCTCTAAACTCAGATCAGGAGGGTGGACCAAATAGCTCAGTGGATTAAAGTGCCTGCTTAGGCAGATGCAGGTGTTGGGAGTTCGATCCCCAGGTCTGCCGTGCCGGCCCCGCCCCCCGGGGTGCACTGAGATGGCGATTGAGACTGGCCATGGTTGCGCACTCCTGTAATCTCAGCTTTTAGGAGATTGTAAACAGGAGGATAACTACGAGTCTGATCTACGCAGTGAGACCCTGTATACCCTGTACATCCAAAAAAAGGAAAGAAAGAAAGAAAAAACCTCAGATCAGATCAGTGGTTGTGTGTAATATGGAAACTCTAGCACCCAGCACCATTCCTGCTACCTGTGAAGTCTCAATCTTCAAGCTAATCAGCATAAGGGAAACAGCATTATCAGCGTGACTCCATGTGATTCAAGTTCTTTTCAAATATATGCAATGTTAAGTGAGTTGAAGAAATGTTGTTTTGATTATGACTCAAATGAGTTAAATTATATAATAGGATTCAGCAAAGGAACAATGGGTACCTTTGAGATAACAATGAACAGTCGCTACTTATGACTGCCCATGATAAGTGTCCCTTGTACTAAAATAAAGATCTTATAATGGGAAAAGCCATGCAGACGTAAGTTATTTGTCAGTCAGAGTAAGGGAACAGAAGAACCACCTAACCTCATTGGCACATATAAAACTATATGAAACTATATTGAAGGAGAATTTTAAAATACATGCATCAAGGACTGTAGACGTGTTCATCTTTTTGAAGCTTTTAATATTACTTCTGAAATGTGTTAAAAATTAAAGGAAAAATAATGAGGAAAAAAGTTAAGGGGGTACTATTTCTAAATAAATAAGATATGAGACTGTAAGGGAAATTTGCAGTAATAGCATCGCATGGCAAAAACAATTATGTAGTTTGGATTCAGAAGCTTCTTTTATGCACACTTGCTACCAACAGGTGCAGGGAGACAATGCAGGCTGGACTCCAGGCTCTCTGCACTGGAGTTCCAAGCATATCTCTATATTGTGAAACAGAGTAACAAAAGGAAAGAAAGCTTGAATGCTAACAAGTTCATTTATAATGTAAATGAATAATTAAAAGAATATTTTCATGAACCAATAGCATTCCATAAAATAAACATGTCTTACAAGGACATAATTTTGAAAGCCAATTTTATAAACTTGGCCATGGTGATAAGACTTGAGAGTGAAATGTTCAGGTAAATCAAGAAATGTCACAAATTAAGTTTTCTGTATGAAAATCCTTATGTCTTTGTATGGCATGTTAGGAAGCAGTTGATTGGGTTGTTAATTGATTGCAAAAACACACAGGTACAATTTGTGTTTGAAACTTTATCCTGATGAAAGAGCATTATCTTAGTTCATCTCACTAGGAGGTGAGTGTGTGTGTGTGTGTGTGTGTGTGTGTGTGTGTGTCTGTGTGTGTGTACCTTTTTCCTATTTTTTTTAGAAAGCCAAGCTACACAACTATATCTAAATAAATAAAGAAATTTTAGGAATGGATAATAAAGATGCATTTCTATACAATGGGTTACTACTCAGCTATAAAGAAAAATAAACCTGAGGCTTTTATAGGTAAATGGATGCAACTGTAGGGGAAATAAGTCTGACTTTTATGTGTAAACATATTGTCTCCCTAGTATAAGAAACTGAAAGAGTAAATACGATTTGAAAGGTATAATATATATAGTTCAAGGAAAAGAAACTGCTCAAAGAGAAAGGATAGTGGACAGGGAAAGGAGGAAAGAAGGAAGAGAAAAATAAAATATATACAACAGATAGCTAAGCGTATTGTACTACTACTTTCTATTAGTTCATTGAAAGGCGCAGTTGCAGCTTATATGATTTAATCAATTTTGCACGCCTATATTTGGCAATCTGAAGCTAACATTATACATTATAATAACCATTGCTAATTTTCTACAATGTTTTGAATTTCTGTATCCTTGCAATTGTTTTTTTTCTTTATCCTTAAATAAAAATTCATACATATCATATCAGAACAACAACAACAACAACAACA